CCGTGTGCCACAACTACTGAGCCTGTGCTCAAGAGCCCATGAGCCATAACTACTGAAGCGTGCGCACCTAGAGCCCGTGCTCCGCAATAAGAGAAGCCACTGCAATGAGAAGCCCATGCACCGCAACAAAGAGTAGCCCCTGCTCGCTGTAACTAGAGAAAGCCCCTGCGCATCAACGAAGACCCATCGCAACCATAAATCAATAAATAAATTAAATAATAAAATTTTCTAAAAAATAAGGGATGGATAAGCACAAAAATCAAAACCACGGTTACCCATCGTCTGGAAGAAAGATATGATTATGACGGAGCATGTGGTGGCAGCAGTGAGATTGCTAATGTTCTGCTTCTAGAGCCGTGCTGTCCAGTACGGCAGCCACCAGTCTCATGTGGCTGTTTAATTACATTTCAGTAAAAACTCAGTTTCTCGGTCACACTAGGCACATTTCAAGTGCTTAATAGTCCAGTGACTGTCACGTTGGATAGTGCAGATATTCCATCATTGCTCATGCTTCTCTTTGATAGTCTGGGTTGGTGGATGCATGGATTTGATGAATTCTCTGTAAGTTGTACATGTGTATGTATGAAATCTTTCAAAATTTTGTTTTAATTTCAGTACTAGAAAATATCTAAACACATACATTTACAACTTCCCAAGTGAAATGTCAGAGAGTGGTCATTAAAATCACCTGAAACTGCAGTAGTGTGAGAGCATCTCTTTAGCATTGCCCTCTACCCAAGATGATTGATACACATGAGGAATGTGAGAAGAGGGGCAGGAAGTGTGTGTGGGGGGGGTACTGTTGGCAAGATTACGCCAACATAGCTGCCACCTTTGCTTCCTTCCACTCTGCTGTCACTGGTCATTATAGTGCTTTATCAGCACTGAAATGCATAGTTTGAGTGACCTTGCAAGTCTCCTGAAACCTGTGTTGAAATCTGTGTTGCTAAGCTGTTGTTTCAAGGAAAAGGTGACAAGCAGCCTCCAAGTCAAAATCTTCCCTAGTTAGTGCTGTCCTTGATTTCCAGGCTTGAGGAGCTTGGTTGTCATTACAAAGAACCTGCTTCCTCCACTTGATTGATCACATCTTGTGCTAGAGCTGGCTGCTTTGAGGCTGTTAAATACTACAAGGAGAGAGATTTATTGGTGGATATAACACTTTCTTTAAATGCTGATGTGGATTCCCAGCTGTGCGCCAAGACAGACCAGAGTCTCAGGCTGTGCTTGGCAAAGCAGAGGTTGAGAGAGTATGTTGTGATATACTTCCTGGGCTCTGTTTGCTCTCAGGTGGAGGTGTCCTTACTTGACCCCTGGGTCATGATCAGGGGTTTTGGGGAGCCCCCATACCTTGTTTGCCTACCCTAGTTCCACCCTGGTCATGATGGCAGAGATGTGAATCTGGCCAGTCCCTCAGCCCCCTGCCTACCCATATAGCAACTCGGGGAAGCAGACCAGAGGAGGCGGAAGTTGGCTCGCCCAGCCCATGTCTCTGAACATTTTTGACCACCAAAGAAATCGTGCATCCTGCCTTTACTTCCCCATTTGTGTCTCCTTTTCTTGCCCCGCTTTCAGTCTTGCTTGCCAGGGTGGAAGTCACACCCTAACATCTGACTTGGGGAACCTGGCTGGTGAGGGATGTGCTGAGACTTTCGGGATGCTGAGGCCAGCATCCGAAGGAGGAGGATGGGGGCAGCAGTAAGGGCAATATGGAAGGAGGCACCAGAGAGGGACACAGATGAACTTCTGGTCAGGACTAAAGGAAGAGGAGAGGGGCATGTGTAAGGCCCTCAGTTCCTCGGGATCGTGGGTCAGATGTTCAGTGCTGCAGAGTATCCTGATTCAGATCTGTAAGCAGTTGGGAAATAAGAATTCAAAGTTTGGTCAGTCTTGCTACCCATCCAAATCATATAGTTAGGTTAATTAGCTCCCTGCATTGAGCAGGTACTGTGTGCCCAGCACATGGCTGAGTACCTCACCACGTTGCCCACAAGCAGCATCTCATTTAACCTACATCACATCAGCCGTTTCTAGAACAATGTTATCAGCCCCATTTTCCAGACAAAGAAACTTAAGACTTGGAGAGGTGCCGCTGAAGTCTGTTAACTCAAACAGACTGACTGCAAAGCTCACCCTCTTAACTACCACATGAATTATTAGACTGGTCACATCATTTCAAAGTATAAAGAAGGAAGTATAAACTGTACATGGGGCCCACCCTGCTTGGGTGGGGAAGAGGAAGAGGGGAGCTGGAGCAATCACACCATCCCAGTTTACCTGCTTTGAATCCCAGGGGTGATGCAGCGTTTGAGGACTGGTGCTGAGAGCCCCTCCGACCCTGCGTTGAGCCGTTCCAGGTGAGGAGAGAGGTGCATGAGCTTCCTGTGGATTTGTGTCCACACTGGGGCTCTAAGAAGGGCTTTCTGCAGTTCTGGCCAGCAGACAGACAGCTGTGAAGCTGTGTTTGGTTTGACTCCACTTGTGAACGAAGGTGCAGTGGGTTCCTAGATAATTGCAAAGGGCAGATTGTTTTCTGATCCTGCCTGCCACCTGGAAGGTCTTTGACAAAAGAATTGAACTTTGGTCTATTAAGTCATATGCAGCACTAGTAGACACAGTGACATACCTATAATACAAGGTGCTGTGTCATTAATTTGGAAGGTTTTTGGTTTTTTGGTTTTTTAGTACTTAATTGCTGGGAAAATTGAAAGGGAGTGTATTTTTTATTTTAAAAATACAGATAGGGGACTTCCCTGGTGGTGCAGTAGTTAAGAATCTGCCTGCCAATGCAGGGAACATGGGTTTGAGCCCTGGTCTGGGAAGATCCACATATCGCGGAGCAGCTAAGCCCGTGAGCCACAACTGCTGAGCCCACACTCCACAACTGCTGAGCCCACGCACTGCAACTCCTGAAGCCCACGTGCTGCAACTGCTGAAGCCCACACACCTAGAGCCCACGCTCCACAAGAGAAGCTACTGCGATGAGAGGCCCGCGCACCACAACGAAGAGTAGGCCCCACTCACCACAACTAGAGAAAGCCTACGCGCAGCAACAAAGACGCAACGCGGCGAAAAAAAAATACAGATACTTCTTTTTCCATTGCATAGGATCACACTCTCCCTAATTTTCAATCAATTTCAAGTATTTCCTGTGAGTTTCTGACATTGCCTAAAGAAGCAGTCCTTTTTGTGGGGTTTTTTTTTTTTTGGCTGCGTTGGGTCCTTGTTGCTGCACGTGGGCTTTCTCTAGTTGCACCAAGCAGGGGCTACTCTTCGTTGTGGTGCCCAGGCTTCTCATTGCGGTGGCTTCTCTTGTTGTGGAGCGTGGGCTCTAGGTGCGTGGGCTTCAGTAGTCATGGCACACAGGCTTCAGTAGTTGTGGCTCGAGGGCTCTAGAGTGCAGGCTCAGTAGTTGTGGCGCATGGGCTTAGTTGCTCCTCAGCATGTGGGATCTTCCCGGACCGGGGCTTGAACCCGTGTCCCCTGCATTGGCAGGCGGATTCTTAACGACTGCACCACCGGGGAAGCCCTCGTGGGGTATTTTTTCGTTGGTTGATTTGTTCATTTGTTGAATTAACGTTTCCTGAGCATCTTCTATGCGCCAGGTACCATGTTAGCACTGGAGATGCAGGCTTGAACAAGGCAGGTACAGCCTTCAGCGAGTTTGCATTCTTGTGAGGAGATAAACACATAAGTAAGTAATTTAATAAGATGGTTTCAAACACTGGAAAGTGCTTTGGTAAATGGCGGGTGGTAAATGAAGGAAGGCTGCTCATTGGGTTAGTTTTTTTTAACAGCTTCATTGAGATATAATTCACATAACATGACTCCTTTAAAGTGTAGAATTCAAGTTTTTTTTTATAGTAATTCACTGGGTTGTATAATCGTCACCAGATTCTAATTTTAGAACACTTCTAATCCCCCACCAAAAGAAACCTCTTACTCACTAGCAGCCCCTCTCCGTCCCTCCCCACTCTCTTCAGTCTTAGGCAACCATTAATCTACTTTCTGTCTCTATAGATTTGCCTGTTCTGGACATTTCAGTTATATGGAGTCATACACTGTGTGGTCTCTGTGACTGGCCTCTCTCACTTAGCGTAATGTTCTCAAGGTTCATCCACGGCATGGCATATCAGTGCTTCACTTAAGTGGAATTTTATGCCTAAGTATTTTATTCTTTTTGATGATTGTGAATGGGAGCTTTGTAGACATTCGTTTTTTATATGTTCCTTGCTAACGTGTAGAAGTACTGATTTTTGTATATGATCTTGCATGTGATTTTGTATATCATCTTGTATCCTGTGAGCCCACTAAATTTGTTTATTAGTAGTAGTAGTTTCTTAGTGGATTGCTTGGGATTTTTCATATACAAGATTATGTCATCTAAAAATAGAGATAGTTTTATATCTTCCTTTCCAATCTGGATGGCTTTTATTGGAGTAAGAGAGTACAAAATTGAATGACAGTAGTAAGAACGGACACCCTCATCTTGTTCCTGATCTTGGCGAGAAACCACTTAGTCTTTCACTGTGTCCCCGAGGGTTTCAAACACCTTAGTTCTGTTTCAGTCTCCACTGCCAGCTCTGAGGCCTTACCCATGTCACTTGTTGCAGTTCCCTAAACCAGAAAACGAGAAGGTTGATTCCTTTCCAGTTCTTACATCCAGCACTTCTGTGATTCTACTTTGGTATTCTTTCATCTTAGCCAGTTCCCTTGGACATTGGTTAGATCATCAGGCAAACTCTATAAGGACACTTGGAAATATTTGCACTTTCGTTTTCCAAACCCATTTTGACTGCTTTCAACCCAGACTAGATGGAAATTGCAAAAACGGAAACATGCAAGCAGAAATGGTTAATGGATCCATATTTCCTTTTCTTTGTAACCCTGAACAGCTAGGGGGAAAGATTTGTTTGAGGACGATGCTCATTTCCACAAAAGGTCAAAGAACCACAGCTTCTTCCCACTGTACCTCTAAAAATCATTACCTTCTTTGTTTTCAGACTCTCAGCGTTCTCATCTCTCCTCCTTCACCATGAAGCTGATGGACAAATTCCACTCACCCAAAATCAAGAGAACGCCATCAAAGAAGGGAAAACCAGCTGAGGTGTCTGTGAAGATTCCAGAGAAGCCTGTGAACAAAGTAAGCTGACTCTCTAGGTGTTTCTCCTGGCCTTCACCTGCTTTGAGCAGTGAGTTTGTGCTGTTTTTTAAGTTTATGCCCTGGGGATGGAACTTTCAGTACAGAACACCTATTCCATAGCATTCCACGGCTCCAGGCGGAGCTTTCATTGTCCCTGTGAAATATGAACCTTTAGGATGGTTGAGTGTTTCTCCTGTTAATCAGAGTCAAGCTTGGTTGTGGCTAGAACAGTTCTTTTCCAGCTGTGTCATCCTCTGGGCATTTAAAACAGCTCAGCTCATCATGTTCACACTCCAGGATGCTGCCTCTGTGCCCCAGAGAGGCCCACGTTGCCCATACATACTCTCTCTCACACACACACACAGACACAGACACACACACACACACACACACACAGACACACACACAGACACACGCACGCACGCACGCACGCACACGGAGATTCGTGATGTCCAGAACATCCATCATTCGGCTTTAGGGCCCGTGCTCTGAAACTTGCCAGCCAAAGATGTCCTCAAACACCAGTAACCCAGCCAAAGATGTCCTCAAACACCAGTAACCTCAGCAGGGCCAGTCAAGCCAGATGTGTTGGAACAGCTGTTGGTTTTCATCAACCCCTCCCTTCAGCCTAAAACGGCCATTTCAAGCTCTGTAGGAATCCAGGTTTCCTCTCTTCCAGGAGGCAACAGACAGATTTCTACCAGAGGGCTACCCTATCCCCTTGGATCTGGAGCAGCAGGCAGTAGAATTTATGTCCACCAGTGCTGTGGCTTCCAGGTCTCAAAGGCAGAAGGTCAGTGTGATGTTAAGAACAATTGGGTTTGCCTTGCCCTCTACTGCAGAATCCTGGCCCATGGTTTTGGGGATGGAAAAAAAATCTATTGCAATATCATTGTGTTCAGCTGGGTGGCAACTGTGGGCTTAATTGTTCAGGAAACAGTCCAAGGAGCCTTGGATAAAGGTAAGAGTTTATCCAAGCCCCCATGGCCTTTGGAGAGAGCTCAGTACTCCATGGCGAAAGCTCCGGGATTTTGGGGATTGGTTTGGGTGTGCTGCTTGGGTCCAACGGGTTCGGGGGAAGCGGGTGAGTCTCATCTCTTAAGACCAGCTGTTCTTTCCTTGAGTTGCTAAGATGATCTGGATAGTTGAGAGAAGGAAGCGCATCTGAAGTGTAAGGTACTTTGTTAACTATCTCCCGAGACTCGTGAGTGTGATGATACTGTGCAGAACCAGTGCTCTCAGAGCCAGGGACACCTTTTGTGCCGCTAACATGTACCAAGCCTTTTTTTTAGCCCCATGCTATGTGCTTTACACTCGTTCTCTCACTTAATTCTCATTGTAACCCTGGAAGGTGGAAACTTATCTTGCAGAAAAGGAAGCTGGGACTATGGAGATATTAAACGTTTGGGCAAAGTCACACAAAGAATAGTGATGCTGAGATTTGAACACAGGCCATCTGACATCAAGTCGAAACTCTCTCGATGCTACAGTTACTCTTTATGAAAGTCAATTTATTTTTTAATATCTAACAAATCTAATGTTAGCTCCCACACATAACTGAACATAAAAACAAAATTAAACTCAGCAGTGTAAAATAAAGACAAGCCTCATAGATAAGTAGATTCTGAACCCTTCAGTGACTGTCCACAGTGTAGTTTGTAGAACTGTTGTCACAGCTGTCAATTTAATGCCACTGGCAAACACTACCCTGTTATATAAACACATAACTCTTGAGTTTTGCAGTGTATCTGCTTTTGTTTTTATGTTGACCAGCAGAATATCTTAAAAGTGTAGTTAAAAGTGGAGAAAATAGGTTTTAAGTCCAAAGTCTGTTGAAAAATCATTTTTCCTGCCCCATCTGTTAAGAAAAAGAGGCTGTAGAGCAAGAATGAAATGTACGGTGTTTGCCAGATCGATCGAAATTCCAGACTGAAGAAGAGCAGTAGAGGGGAAGGTTTGGTCTCTGCGCCACAGTTATTGTTTACTGCAGTCTGTTTAGCAACCCCTTGGAACGGGGTTTTGTATTAAACGCCAGGAAGAGCGTCACTGGTCACCTGAC